CACACACACACACACACACACACACACACACACACACACACACACACACACACACACACACACACACACACACACACACACACACTATTTTTGTATCCTTTATTCCATTTCATAAATACTTCTTCATTTGAAACCGCATTTAAAAACAGATCCACTTCAAAAGACAGTCCCTTGATTTAACTCTAAAGACGTGTTATAAGAATATAGCATGTAAAATGGAGAGAAAGTTCATAACAAGCTGCAAGCACACAGCTTGAGATGATTTACACATATATTTATTTTGTTAATGCTCTTCACTATAGTGATCCTAAACCACACTGGATACACCTTGTCTAGTTTAGGGTCTAACTGCTCTGTACTCTCACCTGGGGCTCTGCAGGCGATTCACGTACGCAGCGATCAAAGCGTGTTCCTCGTTCATACGCTGAGCCGCTGCCAAACTGGAGACAGGAAGCAAACTTGTTTACGCTGTGAATTTAATCTACTACTTAATTAGTAAATATCACAGAAATCTTGAATATTGCATTGATTTTTATACAATTGAAAGTAATGTTTTACTTTCTGTATGCATTATGTATCAGCACGCTCTTTTGCTGTCATTTTGCTCACAGCACAGTCAAAAAGGCTTCATGTAATATGTATTTATAAAATATATTATAAAAATGTTTAGACTTTGGCTCGATAGAATCCTTGAATCATTTACATCTTGCTGTTTTCATTACTCAACCCGCTGGATGGAAATACGTTTCAAATGTCTAACGTAAACTGGAACTACAAAACAATTTTTTTTTTATCTACCGGTAATTCCAAAAAGGAAATTGACAAAACTGGTAAAGTGTGTGCAGTGGGAATTAGTCATTTTTACCAGGAACAAGGGAATGAAGCAATCCATTAAAAACCCCATTGATGTTGACTGAAGCAAGTCACTACCTCTGATATAACCTGTGGCTTAAAAGTCCAGAAAATGCAAACTTCTTTTAAGACAGAACAAAATATGACAAAACGCGGAACAGGATTTTTTTTGACTCTTCGTGTATTTACCTCTTTGAGGACTCGGGCACTTGTGAGGACAGCAACATGGCTTCACTGGTGTTCCCAATGGGGCGACAGGGGCTGCATAGACACAAACAAACACACATATACAATTTATTAGACCCCTATTATCAACAGTTGGAACACAAAGTGCGTTATTATTAAAACACAAATTCCTGCCTGACAGAAAACACACATTCTTACACTCACACTCTCTCTCACGGGATTTTGAGTGCAATCATGCAATAGCGAATTGTTCTAGTCTGAGCAAACACAGACAGAGCAAAGATCACCAGAGGGAGAGAGAGAAAGAGAGAATGTATACCAAGGGAATAAAAGAAATACAGAATTTCAGGAAAAATAAAAGTTTGAGAGAGGAATAAACCTGACGCAGCATCATAACTGTAAACATACTCACAACTGTGATACTTGCAATCCTCTCTGTGTGCTGGCCTGATAATAGGCTCAGTGCTGGAGGTCTGTAATGATGACCCAGTCTGCTGATGTTTGAATATCAAACCACCACTTAGGGGCGGAGCACCCAACGTGAAACGCTCTAGAGGCGGGACTTTTGAGATCCTGTGTTATTTGAGGTTTTTGCGTGCATGCAACTGGCCAATAGACTGCAACTTGGATGTTTCACTTTCTGTAATGAACAACATTCCTATACTACAACAACCTTCATCCGCCTGAAATTAAATCAGTTTTATTGTGTATACAACTTTAAAGGAATGACAACATATTAAAACAAGTTTTGTTGCTGATCATTACAAGAACATTGTAACTAAGAACGAACAAAATAGGTGCTAAAGAATTTTGTTGTCAACTATATTTCTTATTTAACTTCAGTAACCTTGACTCAAAGTACCATGTAACATTGTTTCCATACATACTGCTGAGATAACATTTCAATGTATACTGCCACCACATGTGAGACGGTGTTACTTTTGCTCATCAGGGCCCATTGTGGTTATGAGTGGCATTTACAGGGTGAATGCACATCAAATACAATTTACTTACAAAAATCATAAGCAGGAAAGAAAAAGCGTAAATATTGAATGGAGGTCAAATACTAATCCTTTACTATTAATATATTGGAATGTATATCTAAGAAGTAGCATAAGTAACACATGCTGAGAAGTAAGTGGAATATCTAGCCATAGCCAACATTAGGCACTGGTTGAAACTTGCCAATAAACACCTGATGCTGCTTCCTTTTAGATCCAACATTTCATTTTGACCACTCTTTGTGAAAACCATTAGTGTGTGAGTTTGTGAGTTCTTACACTATGTTGGAGAGGTTGAGGGTCCGCTCAGGTTCCTCTGGGTAAATAGGATGGGGGGGCTCTCTGGACGACACACAGCCCAGAGTCCTGCTCAGGGCTCGACTAAGCTTCGTTGCTGAAGATTTCTACAAACAAAAACAAAGAGAAAAATAAATATCAGGTCAACATTCAGAAGCTGTGTATTTTTAATGACACTGATGAAAAGTGCTTTGCAATCCTGACGTGAAGCAGATAAACTGAGAATATAAATGAGCCCAAAACTGATTCCTGTTGTAAATGATATGTAAAGTCTGCTGAGGATTATAAGGATGGGTTTCCTGTGATAAGAAGATTGTGTTGGACAGGCAGGAGCTGCACCAGAGATTTATCCCTGAATCACTAATGAGAGAAATTATGCCAGGTTTGGAAATTAATATTTCATCAACTTTGTTTCCATCTATTAATAAATTAATCCCTCATTAAAAACATTTTCGCCCTTCAGTTTTCTTTTGGGGATATAAGTATGATTTAATGGATTGTAACATTTTCACTGATAATGTTACAATTTATCAAGGGGTATTTGCAAGTTCTGGATGCATTGAAATAAAACAC